TTTTTTTTTTGGTTTTTTTTTTTTTTTGCTTATTTTTTACTACAGCTTGATAACTGATTTAGATTACTAATAAAAAATGTCATAACAGACTCAGTTGTTAATATTTTGACTACTGTAAACCTCATGTTTGCATAAGAGTGAAGTGGTTAAGACATTTTAACTTTTGCACTTAAGGTGTCCACAAAGGTTATGTTTATGCTTTGGGTTTTTTGTTTGTTTCTGTGTTTTTTTGGAGAGATTTTTGCTATAGGGTGCATGTGCTCACTAGAGACAGAGTGACAGAAAGTGAGAGATCACCTCTCAAGGAGGATGGACATGGCACAGTCCCTTCCTCTCTGTTCTCCTCTCAGGATTTTGGTCATGCACGCACACATACCCGCATGAGTTTTAAGCCACTGGATCTAGGAATTGTACTGCGGTTTACTATGCAGGAGTCCTGCGATACAACCATTATGCCTTCTGCTCATCCCTATTTGTGCTCTTAATATGTATAAAAAGATAACTCATTTTTCCAGATGACTTATCTTACTATAGAGGTCTAACACTGTTTTATAGTTTATTGTCTTTGCTTGGTACAGAGAAAGAATAACACTCCCTCCAAAAAAGTGTATGAAATTATATGCATGAGAAATATAAGTGTGATGTACATGAATATGTAATATAAAATGTAGTTTTACTTCTTTTTTTAGAAAATGCACTTATGAGGAACCAGCAGTTAGTGTGATGGCTATGTCGCTGGACTCCCACGTAGTCAACCACAGTTCGCGTCCCGGACCCAGTGGCTTAAAACTCAGGCCGGGCGCGTGTGCATGCATGCCCAAGATCCTGAGAGGAGAATGGAGGAGAAGGGATTGCGGCGTGACCATCTCCCCTGGGGGGTGATTTCTCGCTTTCTGTCTCTCTATCTCTTTCTGTCTGTCTGGCGAGCGCACGCGCCCTATAGCGAAAACCTCTCCAAAGGAAAAAAGAAAATGCACTTATGAAATACTCGTATTTTTCTCATATCACCTTGTTAAAGTGAAAATATTTTTCTTTGTGTACCTTTAGTTGGTACGTGATAATGCAGATCTTCGCTGCGAACTTCCTAAACTGGAAAAGCGACTTAGAGCTACAGCTGAAAGAGTGAAAGCTTTGGAATCGGCACTGAAAGAAGCCAAAGAAAATGCATCTCGTGACCGAAAACGCTATCAGCAAGAAGTAGATCGCATAAAGGAAGCTGTCAGGTCAAAGAATATGGCCAGAAGAGGGCATTCCGCACAGATCGGTTAGAACACATTTCAACTTTAAACCTTGTTTGATCTGAATGCTTTCGTTTAGGTGAAAACATAATCTGAATTGAATAATGTGTCCTCATAGTAGCATTTATCTATTTTCTAAACAAAGAGTGACACTGTTGGTAAGGAAGAAAGAAATTGAGAAATAATCACATTCATAGAATAAGAAGATAAATAAGAACCGGAGAAGCAAATAACAATGTTCAGTGATAGGAGAAATTCTATAAAAGTGTTGTTTTTTTAAAGAGATATTTTTGCTATAAAGCACATGTGCTCGCCAGAGAGACAGAAAGCAAGAAATCACCCCCAGGGGAGGGATGTCCACATCACAGTCCCTTCTCTGTTTCTCCTCGGGATTTTGGGCATGCATGCACATGCGCCTGGCATGAGTTTCAAGCCACTCGATCCGGACTCAAACTGTGTTAGGCTTGTGGGAGTCCAGTGACATAACCATTCTGCCTTCTGCTGGTCCCATTAAGCACTATTACTAAAGCTATGAGAGAACTGCAAGAAAATAAAGTCATGAGTAATTTCTTTATCTTTCAGAATAATCTAATTTATTCATGATAATTGTTCAGGAATGAGATGTTTAAGAGGTTAAGGATTGTATAGCTTCCAGAGAAAGATGTAACCAGAAAGAAAAATATACAAAAAATGCAAAGTAAAACAAAACATTTGGAAATTTGTTATAAATAAGGAAACCTAAACAGGTCATTGCAATCACGTGTTAAGCCTTCTTCTAAAGTCAGTGTTTGTTTTTCATATTAGCTAAACCTATTCGTCCGGGGCAGCATCCAGCAGCTTCTCCAACTCATCCAAGTGCAATTCGTGGAGGAGGCGCATTTGTTCAGAACAGCCAGACAGTGGCAGTGCGAGGTGGAGGGGGCAAACAAGTGTAAACGTTGACACATACTCACAGGTTTGTGGTTTATGTGTGACTTTTGTATCCTAATTGTACGTGCAAATGTTGAGCCCTTGCTTAAACAGGTTTTAGTTTTTCATATTAGTGTCATGATTTTTTCCCCCAGTAGATGGTACATGTGTTTGCCAGAGAAAGAGACAGAAAGAAAATGAGAAAAACCCCCACCCATGGGTGATGGTCACACTACAATCCCTTCTCCATTTTCTTATCAGGATTTTGGTCACACACTTGCACCCAGTTTGCTTCTTAAGCACTGGGTCTAGGACGTGTAAGCATGCTGTCAGCCATGTGGGATCCAGCCACCTCAAAAATACTAAAATGTGTTTAATTTTATTTTTTTAATGTGTGATTATAAAAGTAACTTCAGTTCAGATTGTACTACATATTCACTTTTTTTTTTTTTTTTAAGGCATGATCTCACCGTGATGCTAGCGTTCTGTCTCAGCTGGGACTATAGGCATGCACCAACATGCCCAGTTTTTGTGCTCTTTTTTTTTTTGGCACCTAATATAATGGATCATTTGTAATAACTCTTGGTACCTTTTAAAGTGATTATTTATTTCACTTTATTTATTATTATTATTTTGTTTACTGTAGTGCACATATATTCACCAGAGAGAGGCAGACACAGACAGAGAGAGAAGGAAAGTAAGAAATGACCAAGCCACAAGGTCCAGGACTTGAACCGTGGTTGGCCATGTGGTAGTCCAGCACCTTAACTACCATGCCATCTACCAGTCCCAGCTCTTGATATTTTATCTAATGTATGTACCCATGCAGTTTTTTGGTTTTTAAAGAATTCATAAATTTTTAATTCGCTGTCACCAGAGACGTGCACAGAGGTAGAGGGAAAGTGAGAAAGCAAGCCACCAAGTCCTGGACTTGAACTGTGGTCAGCCAAGTGGGAGTCCAGTGCCTCAATCACCATGCCACTTGCTGGCCTCTACACAATGGTTTAGAACTGTCTTCTTCTTTTACTGGATATTTAATTAAATTTTGTTAATTTTTTCATATTTGAAATATTCTAAAATTTAAAATTTCATATATGAAACTTAAAGTATATGCAACAACTTCTTTTTTTTTTTTTGCTATAGAGCACTTGCACACTCACCAGAAAGACAGAGAGAGAGAGGAAGCGAGAAATCACCCCCCAGGGGGATGACCATGCTGCAATCCCTTCTCCTCTGTTCTCTCAGGATCTTGGGTACACACGCACACATGCCTGGTGTGAGTTTAAGCCACCAGGTCTGGGACTCTAACCACAGTTGACTACACGGGAGTCCAGCAACATAGCCATTACACTAACTGCTGGTCCTCCCATATTGTCATCTTTTTAATTTGGGGGAAAGTAGTCAGAGCTATTGGCTGAATTATTTGCAAACTTTTGGATACTTTTTCTTATTTTCTTCTCTTTTTCTTGAGAGGTTTTTGCTATAGGGTGCGTGTGCTCACCGGAAATAACAGAGAGAGACAGAAAGTGAGAAATCACCCTCCCAGGGGGATTGACCACGCCGCAATCCCTTCTCCTCCATTCTCCTCTCAGGATCTTGGGCATGCACGTACACGGGCCCAACGTGAGTTTAAGCCACTGAGTCCGGGACTCGAACCGTGGTCAACTACATGGGAGTCCAGCGACGTAGCCATTATGCTAACTGCTGGTCCCTCTTGTTTTATTCTTCATGCTTATTTCAAACATAGACTTTGTGAAACTAAAAAATACTTTCTCCATGTTTTCTCTCACTTTCAGATGTTGAAAAGTAATTGAAGTATGAAGAGGACATAGTATCAAACACAGTCATTCAGAGACTACATCTTCTAGTTGTAGAAATACAACTTTTCTCAGTGTATAAGTTATACCTGGCCTGTACAGCTGTTTCCTACCCACTCTTCTTGTAAACTCTGCTGCTTCCCAACACCACTAGAGTGCAATTTTGGCGTCTTAGGAAAGAAAAATGGCAGTTTACAACTGTGGCCCTATTTATTACACAGTTTGTCTTTTGTGTCTTAAATTTAGTCTTCACTGTGCCAAGCTAACTAGACCTTGTAGGATTGTGCTTTTTGTATTTGTTTTTGTTCATGTTTATTTTTAATCTCAGTTTAAATTACTTAGCTGCTACTGCTTCTTGTTTTTCTTTTCCTATTAAAATGTCTTCCTTTTTTTTTTTTTTTTTTTAGGGAAAATGGAACATTTAGATTAAAGTTCTTAAATTTTACCGCTTAACACACTACATGCCCACACAATATATCAAGTCAGTACTGTATTTTAAAATCCCTTGAAATGATCATCGGGGTTAACATTATTTATATCATTTCTGAAGTTCGCTTCTGGAAAACTACTGTTTGAGCACTGAGACCTTACAGCTGTCTAATTCGGCATTTGAGACCGAGCAAGGCTACTTGTTATCTCATGAAATGCCTCTTGTAGGGTTGTTTTAAATAGAAATATTTTACAATATCAAAAGCAAATCACAGTTTAGGAGAGTTTGGGAAAGGGTTTGTATTTCTCTTCCTGATTCTAAACTCAGCATAGCGTGGTGGAGTGAAAATACCGTGCATTCTGGTGAGCCTGGCTAATGAAAGTATTGGGCAGATGTTAACTCGTCATCTTTATTTTAATGAAATGAGTTAGGATATTATAGGAGTAAACATAATTTTATGTTGTTAGTACTGCTTTTCTAAATTTATAGCCTATAGAAAATGAGGGGGAAAATGTGAGGAAACAGACAGATACATGGTAAATTAGGAAATTTCAAGATAAATTTTGGTCAGAAATCCCTGAGGTATTTTTAACCTGCACTAAATCATACATTATAATTTATTTCTTGTTTAGTCTGGAAATAGTAAGTGTTTGCAAAGTCACTAATACTCCTCAAATAAATTATTTGGTTGGCCGTAGCCCATAATTTTTTATTTAATAGTGTGTACCTAGTTTTTGTTTTGTTTTGTTTTAAAACCAACCTCTTCCTCAGATGATTAAGCCAAGTCAGCAGTTTATTTTGGGAAGCTATAAAAGTAACAGGAAAGAGATTTCAATATTTGCTTCATGAGTGGTGTGGGAGGGGGTGTGATTGTTAGCAGAACTTTGCAGAAAATGGAGATTTAAGGTTATTCAGTCAGTGGAGAAACTTGTAAAGTTCTGTGTTAGGTTCTGGATGCAGAACTAACTTTTTGAAAAGGTTTTATACACAGATATTTGTATTATTAAATTTGGAGCCATAGTCAGAAGACTCAGATCATAATTGGCTTATTTTTCTATTTCCTTAACTATTGTAATTTCCACTTTTGTAATAATTTTGATTTAATAGATAAATTTATTTATTTATTTTTTTAACAGAAATTCTCGCTGTTAGTCTGCAATCTTTAAAATGATTGTGTTGCTTTTAGGATTGATCAAAAGAAACACTCCAAAAATTGAGATGAAGCCCTTAATGCAGCAAGATAGAAGTAATACAGTCAACCAAAAAACTGCTACAGCCTCTTTTTGACGATAGTTTTCTAAGTGGAGAAATACTTGACTGCATTCAGATAGATATTTGTATTTTATTTCCAGATGAAAATGTGCTTCTTTGGAAATAATTCATTAATGAAGCAAAAATTTGTTTTCTCTTTTGTCTGAATATAGTAGTTTCATTCTGTAAGAAGTATCATGGGCTTTGGTGCTGTATAACAGAATGAATTGTAACTGGCTTGTTCAGAATACACAATGTTAGGGTTTTTTAATATCTTTGCTATTTATAATTTCAAACTTTCATAAAGTGTACCAAGGATTTCATTAATTTGTTTTCAATGACTGCTCTTTTTGCTATGGTAATTTCTGATCATCTAGAATATTGACACTTTTTCCAACTTTGCGGTGTCTTTTTTTTTTTTGACTGAATACATTAATGTTCCTCTGACTGGAATTGATAAGAGATTCAGAAGAGAAACTCAATGAAATGAAAAAGTAATATTTATTCATGGTGATCAATTAAATTATTTGCCTAATTTAAGAAAATTAACTGTTGCACATAACTCGATTTGTGCGTAACTCAATTTGACATGAGATGACAGAGAGTCTGAGTCTACCTGTGGAATATGTTGGTTTATTTTCAGTGCTTATAGTCAAAGATAATTGGTTTGGGAAGACGCCATATAATTTTAAGTTAACCTGCATGCTGTAAATGTGTTTTATGTTTAATAAAGAGAAAAAATTTTTGGAAATATTACAGCTTTCTTAAAACTTACTTGATGAAGTATTGGATTGATTTTATGTGATTGCGTTGCCTTCTATTCTGACAGAATAAGTAACTAATGGGCCAGCCGGTGGCATAGAGGTTAAGGTGCTGGATCCCACATGGCCAACAATACAGTTCAAGTTCTGGGCCCGGTGGCTTGAAAAGCATGCCAAGCACGTGTGCATTCGTACCCAAATTCCTGAAAGGAGAAATGGAGACGATTTTGGTGTGGCCATCACCCCTGGGGGTGATTTCTTTCCTATGTCTCTCTCTCTCTCCAAGTGCCTAATGTGCCTTTTGCACAGTGGGTATTAAATGTGTAGGCTGAAGAATTAAGAGTTAGAAATGAGTGAGCAGTCTGAACAATGCTCTTGTATGTCACAATTTCTTTCAAACACTTCTTTAGTCAGCCCAGCTTCGGTGGTGCTGTCTAGCTAGCCAGGCAAGATGCCGTATGGCAACCATGGGTTCAGATCCTTAGACGGACCTGAAAACTCAGCAGACATGGGCAGCCAGGATCCTGCAGAGCCGAAAGGCTGGGGAACACCGTCAAGGATGTGCTTACCTCTCTTGTCTCACATGGACACGTTATATACTATTTTAAAAAAGAAAAATATAGGGAACCAGCAGTTAGTGTACTGGCTATGTCGCTGGACTCCCCCGTAGTCGACTGTGGGTCGCGTCCCGGACCCGGAGGCTTCAAACTCAGGCCGGGCGCATGCGCGTGCGTGCCCAAGATCCCGAGAGGAGAATGGAGGAGAAGGGATTGCGGCGTGACCATCCCCCCTGGGGGGTGATTTCTTGCTTTTTGTCTTTCTGTTTGGCGAGCGCACACGCCCTATAGCGAAAACCTCTCAAAAAAAAAAAAAGAAAAGAAAAATAGAGGCTGGCCGATAGCATAGCACTTACGTCTCTGGTCCTGGACCTGGTAGCTTAAGACTCAAACTAGGCACATGTGCATTCATGCCCAAGATCCCAGGAGGCGAATGGAGGAGAGGGGACTGTGGCAGGACCATCTCCTCTAGGGGCTGATTTCTCACTTTCTGTCAGTCTCTACCTCTCCAGCAAGCACACAGGCCTTATGACAAAAATCTTGTGCCGCCCCCCCCCACCCCGCACCCCCGAAAAAAAAACCTAAATGTTTATTCAGGTCTGGCAGGAGAATAACAATGGCAACAACAAAAAAAAACCACTGCTTCTAGGGACCAGCAGGTGGCATAATGGTTATGTCGCTGGACTCCCTCCTGTTGAGTCAACCAAGTTTGGACTTGGCTTCAAACTCATGCCGGCCACATGTGCATGCGTGTCCAGATTCCTGAGAGGAAAATGGAGGAGAAGAGACTGCAGCATGACCATCACTCCTGAGGGTGATTTCTGATTTTCTACCTTCCTCTCAAGTGAGCGCATGTGCCCTATAGCAAAAACCTTTTTTTTTTTTTTTAAATTACACTGTTCCTAAATTCAAATGGTAGTTTGTTGTTTTGGGTTTTTTTAGGTTATTTAAATATCTTTTGAAATTATTGTGGAAAATTTTGATCATATGAGACTGAGTGAAAAATGAAGCACATTCATGTGTGGCCAAGATCCTGAGAGGAGAATGGAGGAGAAAGGATTGTGGCATGGCCACACACCCTCCCCGCCACTCCCCTACATGGTGATTTTTTTTTTTTTTTTGCTTTCTGTCTCTCTCTGGCAAGTGCACACACCCTATAGCAAAAATCACTCTTAAGGAAAAAAGAAGAACAAAGCCCCAAGTCCCAATCATTAGGATTCAACAGTTACCAACTCATGGCTAATCTTGTTTCATCTAAAACCTCATTGTGAGTGGCCCCTCACATATCTTGAAACAATCCCAGACATTATATGCTCTTTTCTATAAATATTTCAATATATACTTTTGGAGGATAAAGACTCGACACACCACAAATGCCATTATCATGCAAAAAAAAACCCAAATAATTCCCTAATGTATTCACATTTTTAGTATTTGTAAACAGTTTGAATCAAGCTCCAGTTAAAGATGGACCAGCCAGGTGGTATGGAGGTTAAGGCAGTAGATCCCACATGGCTGAATGAATGCATGATTCAAGCAAGTCCTGGACCCAGCAATTTGGAAAACACACCAAATGCATGTGTATGCATGTCTAAAATCCCAAGAGGAGAATGGAGGAAAAGGGATTGTGTGTCCATCCCTCCTGGGGGCAATTTCTCACTTTTTTTCTTCCCCTCTCTCTCCACCTCTCTGGTGAACACATACATGCACCTCAGCAAAACCTTAAAATAAAAAACTGGACAAAGATCTAGTTAAAGACAATGCATTGCAAGGTCTCACCCATCTATCATTTTACCCTTGTAATTTGTGAATCAAAGTTTGTCCTGTAGAGTTTCCCAGATTCTGTTGATTTGTCTCTGGTACCATAATGTATTCCTCTCCTTTGTATTTCCCATACATTTGTTTTGAATCCACAGACCTAATCACACTCAAGATACTTGTTTTCTTGTAGGAGACACCAATACTTCTGTGGTGATATTCTTCCATTGTGGCACATTTCTCGTGGCTCTTACGGGATTACCCATCCTCACTGCTGAGCAGGGCCTAGGTCCATCAGTTTAACAGGACTTGGAAGGACAGTGCTCTCCCCCTGTCATTCTTCCTTAGCTGCAGTAGAGGAACTTGTAGGAAAGATAGTGATAAATACTTGATTCTTTATTTGCAAGTTTCAAAATAATGAGTCATTTCACTACCTTCTTCCAGTAGTGACCAGTTGTGAATTTTTTTTAAATGTGCTCTATTGCTGTTTGGATCATTTTTTCTTTTCCTGAGAAAGTTTAAGTGGAAATGGGGCCAGCCCATGGCATAGTGGTTAAAATTAATGAATTTCATATGGCTGACTCTCAAGTTCGTGTTCCAGACCCGGCAACTGGAAAAACAAGCCAGTCGTGTGTGTTCCCAAAGTCCCTAGGAGAGAGTGGAGGAGAAGGGATTATAGTGTGGCCACCCCCCTGAGGCGTGGTTTCTCACTTTCTGGTCTGGAACTCGAACTGTGTGGTCAGTCATATGGAGTCCAGCACTTTAATCACCGAGTCACAGGCATGGCCACTTGAGGCTAGGGTCATAAATAAATAAAATTCAAATCATTAGACTCATCGGAGTCCATGTACTGTCTAGTGAATCTAGAATTCTGCAACTGTCAAGAGAATTTGGATCATTTTTTAGGTAAGGACCAGGCAGTAAATTTTTTCACTTCAATTAAAAAGATAGGCTAGTCCATGGCCTAGTGGCTAAGATTACTGGATACCACATGGCCACCCACTCAGTTTGAGTCCTGCACCTACTGCCCTGAGAGAGACGCTGAGCATATGTGTGTGCATGCCCAAAATCCTAAAAGGAGGGAGAAGTGGAGGAGAAGGGATTGTAGAGTAAATATGATCCATGGGGGTGAGGGAGTTGTGCTTTCTTGCTTTCTCTAACTTCCCTCACTCCAGCATACACACCCTCTGGCCAAAAAATAATTATACTTTCTATATTCAAATATAGTTCTTTAGTGGGAATAAATTTACATAAAGAAATGGTAGTGGGAATAAATTTACATGAAACGGTTGCTGATAGGATTACATTTAACACTCGCTGTGTCCCCTGGCAATAGTGTACTATTTGGGGGAGCAGAGCCTCTGACCCTCTACAGCTGCAAGTTGCAGGACAAGGAAGCACAAGGTCCCCCAGCGATCACTGGAAAAGATCACAAATGGTCATTTGTGCACCCACCCCTTGGTCCTCCTGCTGGGAACAAAGAACTTTAAAATGTACTTGATTGGATATAGTCTGTAGAATAGCACGTCATCCTTGAAGAGTTTTGCCTCTAAGATGGCCCTTTGATTGATCATCTATAAATTATTCCAACCCTATCGAGTCAGTGGCTTGTAGGGGATTAGGTATGTGACTTGATCAGTGGGTTCCTTAGTAATGGGCTCACTCCCATTGTCTCCGTTGTTATAAAGTGAGTCTCCTGGTCTGATAATATTTATCTCATGCTAGTTCATCAGATACTCCATAAACCCTCAACAGGGTCGCTTGAGGCCCTGTAGTCAAAAAGGCAAACACACTTCTGTTAGAACGAATTTCTGGCCCTTCGAGCATACACAAGGTTCAATGCACTCAACCTACCCTCAAGTTGCTAGTTGGTTTCTTCAAGAGATAATTGAGCTGAACGTTGCCAACAGGACGTTTGTCAGCAGCAATCACTGGGTCAGGCTTGGTAGGTATGAGTCTTTGCTAGACCAGCATGGCGTTCACCTCCCACTGGGGCTACGTTAGTCACATGCCAGTGGACCAGCACTGCAGTGGTGGGTGATTGGCTGATGTCAACCACTATAAATTCTGTTGCTGAATTCCTCCATACTGGACCCTTTCTGGTAGGCAGTAACGATGGGGGAGTACTGGGTCATCCAATCTAACACCTGTGCTGATTCTTGTCCGACCCTCATGAAGAATTAGGGACACAGACACAGAGAGGACAGCAAAGAGGAGTTTATTAAGAGACGGGAGGAAGGGACCAGCAGATGGCATAATGGTTTCATCCCTGGACCCACGTAGTTGACCATGGATCGAGTTCTGGACCCAGCAGCTTAAAATTCACACCCAGCACACGTGTATGCACGCATGCCCAAGATCCCAGGAGGAGAAGGGATTACAACCTGGCTACCCTCTGGGGTGTTTTCTCGCTTTCAGACTCTCCTGTGATCACACACACACTATAGCAAAAATCTCTTAAAAAAAAAAGGGGGAGCGGGGGGGATGAAGAATAAGCTCCCAAGCCAGGAGGGTCCTGAGTGAGTTGCTGAAGGGAAGCTGGAAAGGAAAGGTTTTTATCTAGCAGTCCAAACGGTGGGCTATAAAAGTGGGCTTCAGAAAATAGTTACATGGCAGCCTGGATGATTCATTACCCATTCTTCATGGGATTGGCAGACCATAGCATTCTGTACTACTTGTT